TGCAGAAAAAACAGACAAACAAATAAACAAACAAAACACTGATCACAAACACTGATAAATTCTGTTGCTGTTGGTTGGCAAATTTTAGGATGGGCTGTTAAAAAGGCTATATCTATATATTAATCATCTGTTTTGAAATTAATTGAGAACGTAACATCTGAAGTGCTTCAAATTGATCATTTTAAACAAATACATTTCTATAAAAAAATACTTAAGTGTTTTAAAAGTACAAAATAAATTTTGCATTTTACAGTGACTACAAAAGACAAATATAAGATAAAGGATAAATCACCAGTGCTTTGAAAAGGCTAGAAAAGATACAAATATTTTCCAGATATGTCCCTTACAGTGTTTACAGAAATGTACTGCAGTGAATGTGAATGTACTTGCAGTTACTCTAACCTGCCACTGGATGTCGCCATTGAACAGCTCACTCTTGGCGAAGTCCACTCTGTTCCAGGCTACAGCCAATTTCAGCTCCTCTGTGGACTCACTGGCATCACTACTGACTGTACACACACACACACACACACACACACACACACACACACCCACACACAAACACTGACATTAGTGTACTGTGTGAAGTTCATATCAGGTCATAAAACATACGTATGTAAACAAACATACAGCAACATCCTGAAGCTCTGTAGCCATTAGCTCACCTCTGACCAGAGCTTTCAGAATGACCATGTCAAAATCAAAGCTCGGTTCTGATAGATGCTAATAGCCTACAGAAAGAGAGGGGGGGCGCGGGGGGGGGTGGTACTGTACGTGTATGAGAAGACTGTTATATGTATTACATACAGTTGCACTCAAAATTATTCAGTCCCCACTGCAACTGTAAGGATTTACAAATTCAAGCTTGCATGGAGACTCCTGTCCATCAGTTAAGTGATCTATTCATATTGATAGTGAAAATGTATGCTGTCATATTTCTAAATAAAAAAAAGGATAATTTAACATAATTAAAACATAAAAATATAAAAGTGACGACTGGCCACTCTGTGGGGTCATTTTTCCACATTGATTTTGGGATAGAAAGGGGACACTGAGGGACAGTTTCTCATGAAGGGACAGTTTCTCTATATATCTGGCCTTTTCATCGGGCAGAATGGTATTAAAACAGGCTGTTGTTGACATTTTATGTTAAAGTTGATTGAAGATGCAGTGTCCTGCAATTCCTCATTCATTCCCTTTTAAACGTTGCAGAATGTTTTCACCCAAAAGGTCCATGGTTTTCCCTGATGATGCAGTGTGCTCTGTTGAGCCAGACCAGAGCCGGTTTATGAGGAGCCTGGCCACGCTCTATTTCTCCATTCTATTTCCTCTGTGGTCAGGACCCCCATGGACCCTACAGAGCAGGTACTATTTGGGTGGTGGATCATTCTCAGCACTGCAGTAACACTGACGTGGTGGTGGTGTGTTAGTGTGTATTGTACTGGTCTGAGTGGATCAGACACAGCAGTGCTGCTGGAGTTTTTAAACACCTCAGCGTCACTGCTGGACTGAGAATAGTCCACCAACCTAAAACATCCAGCCAACAGCGTCCTGTGAGCAGCGTCTTGTGACCACTGATGAAGGACTAGAGGATGACCAACACAAACTGTGCAGCAGCAGATGAGCTATCGTCTCTGACTTTACATCTACAAGGTGGACTGACAAGGTAGGAGTGTCTAACAGAGTGGACAGTGAGTGGACACAGTGTTTAAAAACTCCAGCAGCACTGCTGTGTCTGATCCACTCAGACCAGCACAACACACACTAACACCACCACCACGTCAGTGTTACTGCAGTGCTGAGAATGATCCACCACCCAAATAGTACCTGCTCTGTGAGGGTCCATGGGGGTCCTGACCACTGAAGAACAGGGTAAAAGGGGGCTAACAAAGTATGCAGAGAAACAGATGGACTACAGTCTGTAACTGTAGAACTACAAGTGCACCTATATAGTAAGTGGAGCTAATAAAATGGACAATGAGTGTAGAAACAAGGAGGTGGTCATAATGTGATCGGTATATATATATATATATATATATATATATATATACATATATATATATGTGTGTTTGTGTGTGTGTGTGTGTTATCAGCAGGTAGTTTTCATTGCTATTCATTGCTTCTGTTTACAAAAAGAAAACTATGTTAATAGAGAACAGTGCATCTCTAGATAGCAAGTAGCTTGTTTCTTTGTTCGCTGCTTTAAGCTAACATTACAGTGCTGTCTAGCTGCTAAAAGCTACTTAACGGTAGTTGTATATGATGTACTGGGGTTGTCTTTCTCAAGATAGTAGAATTTTGTTTTTAAAATGCATTTCATTGTAAATGATATGTGGAATATGTTTCAATGCAGTGGTGTTTTAAATAGTGTGAAGATGGTGCTGTAAGAAGAAATAATTACTGTGAGAAAAGAGAGATATAGGAAAAGGAGAGTGTTGATAGACGTTTATGGTAAATTATTCTATAAAGAGTGATGCTATAAGGGTTTCTTTTGAATGTGACTTGAAACACACGTCTTTTTCCTACTTCTTCTTCAGGGATGCACTGGATGCTGCGCTGTGATGGCGGACCAACCCAGGATCAGCGAGTAAAGAGCAGTAAGTGGTAAGTACTATTACTGTAGTGATAATTCACATGAATACAAATAAAATAAAGAACTCAGCTAAGTGAGACTAATACTCAAATGATGTTTTGCTTTTGTGTATCTTCAGTCTGAAAATATTCTAAATTATTTGACTGCGCTGTATGCTTGGAAATAACTTGTACAAACAAAATTAAAGTAAAACTATCTAATACTGAAGTATTACTGCTAAAGAAGAAAGTTTTGAGTTCTGAAACTGATCCCAGCATGGTTTGTAAGTGTAATTAAAGGAGTAGTTCTGCAAAAAAATCAGATTCGCAGTTTTCCACTTGCCTCAGATGTATTCGATCCATCAAAACGTTTGGTGTAATGTTGCTTGTTTTAGTTGTGCTGAATTCTGACTCACCTGCAGAATCTGACTCCCCTTCACATGCACACCACATCAAAAAACTGAATCACCAGTTTATTTCCAAATATTAACAAGAGAGATCATGAATGTAATTTGTAGTCCATACTCTTACATAACATGCGTGGCCATAAGGGGAGTCAGAACTTGGTACAACACCTGTTGTCTAAAATGGCTGCCCAAAGCACTCAGCTACACTGAGTTTTGTTATTTTTATAGTTCACAGTAGAACTGTAACAATATACTCAGCTCATGATTCAATTCATAATGCTGGGCTTATAATTTGATATTTAAATAGAGAAATTGGAAAAATGATGCATCCATGTTGTTGCACAACTTTCTGCTGCAGTGGGACTGGCGCTGTTTGTTGGTGAGTTTTGCTGTTCTAACAATGCAGTTTCATTAGATGGCCTAATTAATAGAACACCTGTTTTCCATGATACATTGTCACACCTCTATGATACACATGACATTTTGCACAGTGATACCACAATGTCACAATGAATTGTACATAATTTTTGGACATTTAGCAGAATCTGACTTTAAAATTTTTTCTTTCTGCAGCTCCTTTGTGTTTTTGTTTGTTCACTGCACATCCATCTACAGATTTTTTGGCTCGGCTTTGAGTCACATCATCTGACTGAGAAACAGTGAGGACAGAGGGGGAGGAGTGGAGCCGATTAAGTGATGTGATTGGGCTAGCCCAGGGTCAGTATTGAAAATGAACCAATGGGCACTAGTTATAAATTTAATTATACCGGCCGAAAGGTGTGCCAGCCCACTGGGATAATGCCTGCTATGCCGGACAGCCCGTCCAGCCCTGAGGTGTGGTGTGTAAGTTTTAGGGAAGAAATGAAATATAGTAAACAAAACCATATTTTCAATAGTGTATAATCAACTGTAACTATGAATAATTTTCATTAGCTTTGAATGAGCCCTTTAAATCTAAACAAGGAGAAGGTCCTCTTCCAACGTGTCACTATAGCACCGGCTGGAAGACATGGAAAGAAGAATCAGTGGTTGTTGCCGGTGCTGGCTAAACTTTGTGTTGTGAGAAGTTTGAGAACCCAAACTTTGACAAATCGAAGATCATACTTATTATTTAGCACAAGAAAAAGCAAGGGACGGTGAATCCTCGCCGTCAAAGAAGCGAAAACATAAGGAAGCAAAGCAAAAATCACCACAGGTTCTACTACATGCTTGGAAAGGGAGGCATGAGGGAGTTGGTTGCAGTGTGCAAACTCACCTCCAGATGCCAGTAAATTTTACACACTCATTTATGTTGTAATGTCATCAACCTGCATGTGCTACTATGTGACGGGACTCAGGAGGTGTGTGTTTACAGGGTTGACAAAACATAACCGAGAGCAGTCTATTTAAAATACTCTCTTCCATTAACTACGATTTGAACGTTAATATGATCCTATTCATAACTTAGCCCTTTCAGATGGCAGTGCTATCCGTTTTGGGGAGCTCTAATTAATAGCCTGGTATTTCATACACAGCTAAAGGAAAATAGGAGAATGGTGAAATAATTTTCCAGTACAACACAGAATTTTCCAGAACATTTTACTTTTTCTCTCATCTTCCATGTTTTCCATGACATGAAAATTGGTCAACTATTTTCCAGGACATGGGGGGACCCTGTAGTTAAACCTTTATATTTCACTCTCAACATTAAAAACCCCATCACCCTTATTCATGGAATTTATAAAATTACATTTGTCTGTCACAGTGTTTATTACAATAACATGAATTTAAAAAAGGAAGAAAAAGTGAGTTTTTACAGGGACATCTTTAGGGATAGTTAAAAAGACACAATCCTGTAAGAAAATAAACAGATCAAAGAGCAGATATAATATAAAAATATATGAAATGCAAGAGATTCCAAGACATGCCTTTTTTCTCTCCTATGACCACAAGAGTGAGAGAACCCTAATATCACTGCATGCCTGTGTGTGTGTGTGTGTGGCTGTCCAGTAGCTCCTTTGGTTTGAGGCTCCTTTAAGCACTGCTTCATCAGCTTGGTCAGCTTGGTGAAGAGGGGGAGGTCGGGATCGTGTCTGAAACACCGAACACAAGACAGATCAGCGCTGGACTTCAAGGTGTAGCTTTTCATTGCTTTGCAAACATTTACATGCTCTGAATACGGACGCTTCGATTATTGTTTTCCTGAGGCTGTGTGGTAAGTATCACAGCTCATTTACCGCACCACATTTTAACAAATGCCATGAAATCTGAGCTCCAGTTAGGGCTGAATGATTTGGGGAAAATATCTAATTGCGATTTTTCTGACTAATAATGTGATTAATATTGTAAACTGCAATTATTTTCTATAAAATAAACTTCAGGCTTTTTTTTCTAAGACCAAAATATCCACATTTTCTAGCTCAAGGCTTGACCCCTGAATATAGTGTGCCAGACAGCCGCAAGTTGTGGTTGTGATGTCACAACGCATGGATGTTTGGTTGCCTCTGATTGATCTAACTTATCTACAGGCAGTTCAGAAGTTCTGTGGTATTAGGATAAATTTCTCCCATTTAACACTCAAGACAATGTTTTAGATAATATAGGCTATAATTTTAAACATTACAGCTCTTGCAATGTGAAAACTGCACTCGCTTAAGCTACGATTTCGATATAAATGGAGCCGTAGCTCCAGTGAACAAGAGATTTACAAGATGACGGGTCTTTAAGCATTTTTGTTTGTACTGTGATTTTGACTCGCTGGTCACCAGTGAAGGGAAGGTAGTCTGACTGCAGTCATCTCTAGACATGCAGTACCGAATATAAATCAGTTCTAAGAGCCTTCACGAGGCTGCTTCAGCAATGTGTATATATAAGGGTGATCTAAAATAAGCAGAACTCTGTTAAGTCACTGAGAAACATAAGCCTAGATATGCTGTCGCAGTAAGACGGATAGAGAGCAGTTGGACTGAGTGAGCGAGCGAGAGAGAGAGAGAGAGAGAGAGAGAGAGAGAGAGAGAGAGAGAGAGAGGGAGGGAGAGGGAGAGGGAGGGAGAGAACAGCACCTCTGTGAAGAGGAGGAGGACGAGTCTGTCTGATCAGGTTACTCTGAGCTAATCCTTCCATTATCCACAAGAGGGAGTTAGAGCAAAACTCCATCTGGAAGAAAGGCAGATAAAGAGACATTAAGTCAAAACTAGGAGTTATTTGATGAAAGGGTCATAACAGACTATATCATGATGAGCTTTTCTGGGTATATCGTGGGCACAGTCAGTAATGAAAGACCACTGACCAGCTCTTATTAGAGTATTTAGGCAGTGCATTTAAGTAGCCCTGGACATGCTAATCAAACTCTTAGAGAGGGGGGGGTTAAAAATGTCTGCATAATTAAATGGTTAAAGATGTAAATCAAGTCAGAGTAGTTTGATGTGAAATGCTTTGTTCAAACTTGGAGCTGAAACTAAGTCACAGTGGCGGTGATAAAAACCAGACATCTGAAAAAGTTTGTCTCACAAAGCTATTACAAGAAATGGGTATAAATATGCTGCCTGATATCTAAAACAAAATATGATAGTTTGGAGTAGGTAAAAATAGCCTGAAATGTATTTTTTATGGTGAAGAGGTACATGCAGGGTATTGTAAGGCAATACATTTATTTACAACTATTTTAATATCACCTACATTGCATATAAAACTCAGGTGTAGGTTCTCTGGTGGTTTTGGATAGTAAATAAAATGGCTATGTTTGTGCTGTACATATCATGACCTCTGGTTCTTATCATCACCACCACCACTGTAAAGAAATTAGAGTCAGTTGGTTTCCCTACAATGAATCATTTTACGTCAAACCACTCTGAATGACTGTTTACATCTCAGAGATTGAACTACAGAGAAATTTGGAGAAATAAGTGGAACTTGTGACTATTTCACTTATAACAGTATAACACTGCAAAGGTAAGAAACTGTTGAAGCACTGAAATGTGACCAAACGTGAACCAAGTGGGTGGTGGTGGTGTTGGTTGGCTGGGGGGGGGTGTAGAACGTGGAGACAGTGAGATGACTGATGGTCTGCAGTCTGTGCTGAGCAGGCAAACACAACAGCTGTTGCTCAACTGAGATGCTCACATAGACACATACTGTATGCAGCATGCTAACACACACACTCAAACACAGAGGGGCAAAGGAACTGAACACGGTGTGGAGCAATAGACAGGCATGCATGGTCTTTACTTACTTCAGACTCCAGCATTCTCAGCCTGCGATCATGGTCTCGAATCTCTGCCATCTGCTTCAGTACGTTGTCCACCCTGCATGCACACACAGAAGATGGCAGCACCCAATTCAGCAAGTCTCAAACATTCTCCATGTCTCATGTTCTTATGAACAACTGCCACAGTGAGGGTCCCTAAATGGCCCTTGGTGTACATTTCATGCAAGTTTTTGAGCCCAAAAAGCAAACTTAGCAGTAAAAGAAGCTGAGAATAACACATACCACCTCTTCATGACATGAAAGACACATAAGCTACACTACTACAGTTTACATGCATTGGCCAACAAGCAAGTTCTACAGACATTCTTTTCCAAATACAGTTGTATGCAGAAGTTTAAACACAAAAGGGCACAATACAATACATTTGTTTATCCACAGCTTTCTAACTTATGATTGGGCAATCATTTCAAGGCTGGCAGCCCTACCAGGAAACGTATATGCAGCATGAAAGAAATGTTTAGCTAGTGCTTCCTTTGACTTGTATTTTTTGACATTTTTAAATTCAGGTTTCTGCATCGTGGCACGTACAGCCTACTCTTTAAATGACATGCTGCTTCTGTACTACGTCTGGGACGCTGCTTGTGCAGGCTGTGTGAGGGTAAAGAGGGACTGACTTGGCAGAAGTGCGTTTGAGCCGCTCGGTGTCACTGTCCCGCAGTTTCTTGCTTTGTGTGGAGAGCAGATTCTCCTTCTGCACTGCCTCCCATGTATTCAGCCTATTGGCCTTCCTGCCCCGGAGATCCAACACTGATGGATAGAGAAAAAAGTTTGAAAACTGGAAAAATTGGGAGCACATACAATTTCACTCTTTATCCCCTCTTATCCCACTCTTTATCTTAAATGAAGGCCAAAAAACAACAACAACAACAAACTGGACAGTGCTGTGTCCTCCTGGCCTGGATTCAGACCCCAATGGTTTACGTACTGAAGTGTTTGATCTTGACGGAAGGCACTTTGCGAATGTTCCTCTTGATGAAGAGGTGCAGGTGGGAGATGATGATGAAGGGCGGCGCCAGGCATGGTCGGGAATGATACTCCACTATCAGGTTGTATCGCTGGAACTTCCAGTGCACATCACTGTGTTCCTGGACCTTACTAAACGTGTAGCTGCAGAGACAACCCATATAAACCAGCAGTTAATTATTGTTACATATCCACTGTGAAAGACTATACACTCCACATGAACAGTCGAACATAAAATACTTAATACATACTACTGCTCAATTAATAAATAAATATCCATAAGATATTGGATGTACCTTTTTATTTTTACACCATTTAAAATCAACAGCGGTTTTATATTGTATTAAAATTTCATGATGAACAGAACAATAGAAATGCTCCAAAATGACTTGCAAAAAATTATTACACTCTCCTGTAATGATAACATTTTAAGTTAAGTATCTTTATTGTCATTGTACTTGCACTGTACAGCGGAATTATTTTTGTATATCCCAGCTTAGAAGGCAAGGGTCAGAGCCATAATAACGGCACCGCTGGAGCAGAGAGGATTAAGTGCCTTGCTTAAGGGCCCAACAGCGGCAACTTAGCAGACCCAGGCATTAAACCTGCAACCCTGTGATCAATCAGCCAGAATTCTAACCACTAACACAAGGTTACTTACTAAATGGCTGAAGTGTCATATCTTACTATCAACACTTCATGTCCACTTCAACCAATTAGACCTCTACATGCAAGATTAGTAACTTACAAACTCCTCCTCTGTATTGTTGGTAGCATTTCTAGCCATGCACTATTAAGGAGCCCTCTAGGTGAACAAATATCCAGGGCAATGTAATGCAAAATGGGTAGAGAGACCACTGTGGCAGCTGAATACCTGAACATTGCAATGAGCAGGTTTAGCAACAGGACGTTGGTGACCAGGAGGTATACAGACAACAAGATGAGCACCAGCCAGTTAGCTTCAGACTGTGGACATGGCTCTGCCCCCTCATGGATAAGGGTCACATTGTTTGTGCACGGCTTCTCTCCTCTTTTATGAGCTAGAAAAAGACAGTTCAGTAAAGAACAAGATTAGCACTACCAGCTAAAGAACTTTTATACAGGGCCAATTTCTCAGACATGAATTAAGCCCATCATCTCTCACAAACACACCGTCTATTTCATCCAGCGGTATCTGCCCGTAGATATGCAGGTACGGTCTGTAAAAGACTCGGCGAAACACCCAATAAGGTCGAGGGTCGTAAGAGTACAACAGCGCCTGATTAGCCACCCCGTAAGCCATCAGCCAAACTCCAAGGAAGAACAAAAAGAAGAAGACATCCTTCACCTGTGAGAGACAAATAAAAGGATTCCAGTAAGATAAAGTACACAATGTTATGTTTCTGAAAACTTTAACCCACGGCCACGTTCCTCACCATTTTTCCAACAATGATGATTTTGGGTCCCAGCTGTTTGTTAATGGCAAAGATATGAATGAGTCTAAGAGTGAAGACCATGTAGTCCAGACACAGCACTGCACGCCCAAACTCATAAGACCAAGGGAACATCCTGCAGCACACAACACACACAGGTATATGAACTCCTATTAAAACACAGATCCAGTCCTAAAATCTGATTGGCTTTTAAAGATGTAAAATACTGGATATACACAAACTTAATATATGTGCCCCTTTCATCACCTCACAACAGCCGAATTCTTTATAATAATGTGCCAACTCACTATAAATTATTGTGTTGTGAATGGCATGTTATTCTGCTCTTATGGATGCCCGAGTGAACTAATAGACGAAGTAACAATCTTTGTTTTCTGACTTCTTATTCTTACTTTCTTAATAAATAGGCTAAAAGACTGCAAAACAAATAGGCTAAAAGATACCCAACAGGCTAAACTGCTCCATTAATATAACTGTAGTATTTCGTAGTAATAGAAAAAAAATTCACTGGTAAACTGTAATATAAAACATAAATGCAACTTGAAATGTCTTACATGCTTCAAATGTCTGTTACCGCTATATCTGCCTTAAGCAGTACTAAACCAAGTGTGCTAACACATATAAGCACTATTGGAAACTATTTATAAACTACTTATAAAAAGTGAAAGTTTCTGCATGAAACACTGCTACAATATGATGTTTTCAAGACAAAAGAAATGTAAAAGTTCATGACATGAGTGCAGTATACACTGATCGGCGACTCAGTTCCTGGCCCTCTTTCAACAGTCCATGGTGGCCAACAATAGCATACTCTAAATGAACTGCATTTCCTGGTTGATGAACTGTTTACTGCGATTATCAATTGAAATGACTTTTTCCCAAACGTGTGTAATTATTGTTTTATGCTGTCACCATTTTATAAAAGCAATAAGCTACTTGAGGCTGTGCTCTACCGTGATTTTACAACAGGTAAACTTGTTTAGTGTTGTACTTAATAACACCCGTTACCTGTGATTAAAAAAAATAATAATAATAATCACAGAAACACAGCCTCAAAAGGCTTATTGCTTTGCCATGCCATGAAACTAATACAGTGGACACAAACCCAAAGTCCAGCCCTTTCTGCTACACACACACCTGCAGATGAGCCCAAGACAGAACAGCATGATGGCTGTGAGGTCAAACTTGTTCCACGTGTCTTGGATATATAACCTCATACTCTGAGAAAATCCTGTACTGCCTGTAAAAAAAGACTATAAAGAAGAGACAAAGATGTCAGTGTGTGTGTGTGTGTGTGTGTGTGTGTGTGTGTGTGTGTGTGTGTGTGTGTGTCTGTGAGATACATGTATAAGTTGACACCTGTCGAATCTCCTCGCAGACCAGAGTGAATATCCAAAAGTACAAAAGAAACTCGATGGGGGCGGGGCCATCTGGAGGTGGAGGCTTGAATTCAATCAACAGAATGTAAGCAAAAAGGAAGAGGAAGAGGAAGTACATCAGCACATTTCCCAGAAATGAGGTAACCGGAGCAAACCAGAACTGCCGCCATCGATGTAGTATGAAAGGATGTTTTTTGGGAGCGACAGTTTTCGACCCCCCTGAAACATAAGGACAAATGAAACATCACATTAATAATCATAATAATAGTCATAACAACAACAACAACAAAATAATAATAATAATAATAATAATAATAATAATAATAAAACAATGCAACAACAACTTTAATTATACAGCAATTTGAGATTATCTAACTGAAATGAAAAGTGCTTTACACAGGAATCTAAGTAAAACAGGACAGATAAAACCCCTTCACTCTAAATGAAATAACAGCACAATTACAAACAGGAGAAAATGAGCCACGGTGCTTCTAGGCACCTTCAAGCCTAAACGCACGTTTTATTCTGGATTTAGAAACACATATCATGCTTGCATTCCTAAAAACCTCAGGATGCTATTCTGTAGTTAAGAAGCTACATAAGAAAATCATCTTCCACTGAGCTGTAAGAAATCCTAGGAGTTCGCAGTAAGCCTGCCTCAGCTAAGCAACCTGTCACCACACCCACCTTTAGGAGCACATTCCTCAGCATCCTCTTCCCTGTAAAACATTTGATATTTTACACATATGCTTCTGATAACAGGAAGAACTTTAATGTTAGAAAAAGTACGAGGTGTGTCTGAATACAAGAAAAATACTGATTACAATTGTGTAAGGTCAGCGACAGATAAGGGTATGGTTTCCAGTTCTCCATCTACGTTGTCCGCATCTGCACCATGATGGCCATCATCAGGCTTGCTGTCCTCATCCCTGAGAAAGAGACGAAAAGAGAAGGAAAACAGCAATAAACGGAAATGTTTTGAGACAAAGTAGAAAAATGAAAGCACAAAATGTCTGTTCATTACATGTGTTGGGTGAGATCTGCCAGAGAGAAGGCTGCTGTGTTTGGTCCTTCCAGGCTGTCTGTGTGTCTGACCTGGTGCTCCCTGAATAGGGGATGAAAAGAGTGAGTGAGAAAGAGAGACAGTGACCCTTGGTTATCAAAAGTTGCATATGGTCAAGTCTGTAAAATGAGAGCATGCGCATTTCACAACGTTTTGTTGCTCATCAATTTAATTTTTGATGTAAGATCCTCCCACACTGGGGAAATACACAGTGCTACAGCAGAAAAGGAATAGTAAGGCACTCAAGAAAAAGAAGCATCTAGAAGAGAATCAACAAAAAAGATATTAACCTTATTAATTACTTAACAAGGTTACAGTTTCACTCATCTTCAAAAAATAGTTGCACCCAGAAGTGTCGCACTGCAATGCTATTCGGAAGAACGATAAATGTTATCAGGAACAATAAAAATTTAGACCGATATGGTCAATATTTATTGAGCTACAAATACAGCAACATGCCAGACGTCTCAGCATGGAGTTGTAGAGTTTCCTAATGGCGTCCTGCGATAATCCATCCCATGCAGCTTGAATATTCTCACACAGTTCCTGCAGTTTTTTTTAGGTAGGGGTGGAGTGTTCATAGCGCGTCCAATAGCATCCCACACATTTTCAATTGGGGATAGGTCTGGTGATGCGGCTGGCTACAGCATAGTATGTGTGTGTCTGAATCTGGCAACCAATCTTCGGCGACTTTGAGGGCGTGGTCATAACGGTCTACGTCCATGTAGTCCTGCGTCATGCAGTCGTCTGTCAATGGTGCTGGCACTAACAGAATGACTCATGGAGGGGATCACTGCTTGCTTAATGTCCACAATCGTAGCTGTTGGGTCACTCTGCCCATGTCGGACAATCCATCAGTTCTCCCTCTCCATGGCTTGTGTAGGTCTCCCAGATCCTTCACGTTGCTGGTGCATGCCTTCTATCCACTGCCGCCAACAGCATGCTATGGTAACATCTACATGACCGGTATGGCGCACAATACATCGATAAGACCATCCCGCTTCCCAGAACCCTATGATGCGACCCCTCTCGAGCTCTTCCAACTGCTCGAATTGCTGCAAATGCTTTGCTTGCAAATGACGCTACCAACATAACAGCACGAGTCAGAATAGAAAGCACGCGCAACTGGACGATCTTATATAGTCAGGTACAGCGATAAGGCCCGTCCTTGCTTACATCACACGCACGGCCAAGCGTGAAACTTGAATCATTCGCATGTCTCATGATGTCAAACCTAACCACCGAGTTTCATTCCTGTCGGATGATTCCTTCTGGGTGCAACTAGTCTTTTGACGATGAGTGTATATATTATATAAATATTAAAGACATGCTTCACAAAATTAAGAACATAAACATTATAAATAAAAGAGCAAAAAAATCTTTACACTATAAGGATATTTTACACATATTGCACATGAAGTACTGATTATACTGCACACGGGGATCGTGATGTGGCCGTGCAATGGTATCAGTACAATCAAACTCTACCTATGAGGACAAGTAAAATATACGTATATTAAACTGTGCCCGCTGCAAACGATATGTAATTCAGGTACTCATGTGCTTGTGCTTATTTCCATGCACTGAAGCTGATTAACTGCAGCCAAATCACTACTTGTTTTGACGTCATAGGACAGTTTCCTGAGTCTAGGCCTAGATCTAACAGTCAAAACTGTCCAAATATGAGGGAAAAAAAACCCAACCTTATCAATTAAGAAACACTTCAATAAAGGCTTCCCCTCTGTTGTTTTTGCAGACCGATTCTGCACAACTTTCATGAATTACAGCCAAAGAGAGCAGAGAGTGCACATACAAAATCCAGTGAAACCTGACTCACATTCTAGTTCAGTAGAGAAGGAGAAACAACTATTTTCTGTGTACTTTTCTTTACAGCATTTGAAACTTTACAGAATTGATATAAGTCTGGACATTCCCAAAGAATAACACCCCAGCAGGATGAAAGAAGATATAAGAATCCTGACCTGAAAGCGATGAGGTTGGAGTAGATGAGAGGTGGCATCAGAAACGAGAAGACCAGTTTCCATACTTCTGTCCTGCTGCTCATATCCCCCCACCAGATCTTAGACAGCAGAGTCTGTCCAAACAGAGAGAGAGAGAACAAACAAACAAAAAAACAAAACACCATATCAGTATATTTTATACAAAAACAATGTGTCTGGTGCCCCAAGCGCCTTGTTGCCTGTGGTCATCTCGATACTCTAGCTGAGGAATGGTAACTTCGATCTAGTGAGCATTTTCACTGTTTGAAAAGCTTTTTATTCATTTATATGTCATTTGGGACTGCAAGCATTTGTGCATTCATGAAGTCCTACCAGTATGTGCCAGTTTCCTCCCTTTTAATGATTAACCCAAAAAGCTGCGCAAGTACCGATAGCACCCCTTGTGAAGAATCTACAGCCTGCAAAAGAGTAACTAAGTTACCATATAAAACTCTTATTATATATTTATACATAAAATATAAAGTTAAGCACATATCTACGCAGTCCTGATAGACAAATACTGGCAGTAGAATGGGTTATACTGATGAGCTTAGTGTAAATTTCTGTCCCACTAGATCTGCCCCTGTCAACTGTAGGTGCTATTTTTGTGAAATGGAAGCACCTCAGAGCAACAACAGCTTAAAGCACGTTGCCACTGGACTCTGGAGCAGTGGAAATGTGTTCTGTAGAGTGACGAATTACTATTCTCTATCTGCCAGTCTGATGAATGTCTGGGTTTGGCGAATGCCAGGAGAACGTTACCTGCCTGAATGCACTGTGCCAACTGTAAACACACCTGAACTCCATCGTGGCTAAAGAAAAAAAGAGCATCAGCTGCCACGGCCATCTGCAGACAGGTGACTCCTCCCCACACTGGAGAGGTTCTGATGAGTAGAGTGAAGGAGCGATTCTCGCTGCTCTGGTAACAGGCGCTGAACACATCTACAGGAGACAGGACACCTCGCTTAGTCAAACTGGCCTCACAATACTGACAAAACAGATCATCACTGTAACGCAAAAACCTCATAACTGCATTCTTTTCAACATGCCATGATGAGAGGGAGAACATGGGGCACATGAGAGACCCAATAAGACTAAAAAAGACAGAGAGAGTGACGCAAGTCAATCAATGATGCAAAATGTGTGTCACCAAACAATACTGAAAGTTAGTTTACTTATAAGTATCTTAAGAATGTTTATTTTTTCCTTCTCTGATGAAGTTATTGTTTGAGATGCATTTTTTTTTTGATGGAAATAATTTAAAAGTGAAGACAGTTCGGTCAGTCAAACTCACATCACAATACTAGCAAAACAGCTGTCTCAGTTGTGCTGGGCTCACACTAAAGAATAAATGAGACACTAGACACAGTATTAAAACATCTGCAGATGCACTACTTCAGGGACATGGTAAGGTGTTTTAAGTTGGTTTTAAGCAGTATATAAGATGTACATGGTAATATCACACTAACTGATTTGCCCCACACCCGGCTCACACTGCTCTCTCTCTCCTTTTAGCAGTTGCTGCTGCATCTTCAGCATCCCTACATTTCTACTTCCTGGGTGCCAGTTGGAAAGCGTGAAGTCAATGAGTTCAACAGTACAAAACAAATCTAGTTTCAGATAAATGTATAAAATGAATTCAGTATGCTAGACCTGTGCAGCTCATAGCTTTCAAATAATCAGAAGGACGCACAGGGAAAAAGGAATTTCTGAGCCGTACAGAGCTGTGGACAAGAAAGCTGAAGAAGCATTAAGAATTAAGTTAATATATTTAATACCCTGATCAAAAGAGCTGTTTACATCTTGAGGTAGATAACCTGACAAAAATGACCGCAAATTGGCAATTACAGTGTATAATGACTAATAACTCAAAATCCTTGAAATATTTAACAAAACATGTAAATATTCCTGTGTTTAGAGTTACACTGTAGAAGTGAATAATGTATATGAAACAACTAACTATTAATATAAGGGGTGATTCCAAACTTCTGAATGGTAGCACAAGTGCATGGGCACATGATTGTGTACAGTACAGAACTCACCGTGGGCCTGTTCCTCAAACCTCTGCGCCAGCTCCTTCATGGAGAGCTTATTCTCCGTCTCATTCTCCAGCTTAGACAGCTCCCTGAGGATTTTACACGCACTCAGAGCACTCAGGACAGACTCTCCCGTCTGAGAGAGAATCAGAAACACTTTGAGTAAGCAAGTCAAAAACACCAAACACATCACCTGCACTCTCAGAAAAAAGGTATGAAATGTCACTGGGGTGGTTCCCCCAAGGGTACATCTCAGCACCTTTAGTCAGGGAACATAATTGTACCAAAATCCACTGAAATTATATTTTCTAAGTTGTATTGACTCCACACACCCCGTCTCATCTCCAGGCTTTTTATTTTATTGTTCTGTTTTAAAACATGCGCTTATGAAAAAGAGCAAATACGTAATTTCCACCTGGAAAAATTTATTTAAGGTTCACAACTGGACCTTAAAACTACCGTTGTACCTTTGACGGTACATTTACATTGTTTGTACCTTGATAAATGAAGAACAGTGTACGTGATGTCGGTGTGCCAAAGATTCAAGCGTTTATGCACAGAGAAACATAGTTACACTGCTAGGTACGTACTAAAGTATATTTATATGCACTGTGTAGTGCACAATTACAGACTGTAGTCCATCTGTTTCACTGTGTACCAGTGCAAAACAGAGTACCACCCTGCCACCACCATGTTAATGTCACAGCAGTGCTGAGAATGATCCACTACCCAAATAGTACCTGCTCTGTGGTGGTTCTCAGGGGGTTCTGACCATACTTTACTGGCTAGTAGTCAGTCAAGTATGCCCTCAAAGGGTAAAAGTGGGCTAACAAACAATATACAGAAACAGATGGACTACAGTCTGTAATTGTAGAACTACAAAGTGCTCCTATATGGTCAGTGGAGCTGGTTAAAATGGACAATGAGTGTAGTCCTTACGAAAATATTCCTTTTGGCTTACCTCAGACTCAGCAAGGTAAAAATGAAGGAGAATAAAAGATTCTTACCATCTCCCAGAAATACAAGGCCATTTCACGGCGGTTCTGCAGAACAGCCCAGATAAAGAGTGAAGCCCAGGGGAAGGCACACGGCTTCTCTCCGTACGCCCCATCACCCTGCTTCAGCTTATTCACATGCTGAGAGAGAGAAAAAACAATGAGCCACGTCACTACTACTACTACTACAAATAATAATAATAATAATAATAATAATAATATATTTGTATTACACTTCTTAGTAATCCTGAAATGCTTACAGTTGCAGAGAATGACGGACATTAAGCATTACATAATGAACATCAAGACATTTTCTCATTACATAACTCGTATCGCAATATCCAGTTTTTATGTGGTTGGAACAGAAAAAAAAACCCAAAAACACACACACACACACACACACACACACACACACACACGTTCAAAACTGCTTATCCCTCTGGGTCACGGAGGGAGCTGGAGTCTATCCCTGCTGAAGGCAGGATACACGGAAGGCAGGACACACCCTGGACAGGTCACCAGTCCATCACAGGGCAGACAGACAGACACATTTACACACACACACACACACACACACACCTAAGGGCAATTTAGCATGGTAAGTTGGCCCGACTGCATGTCTTGGGACTGTGGGAGTAAACCGGAGCACCCGGAGGAAACCCACACAGACACGAGGAGAACATGCAGACTCCACACAGAAAGGACCCCGGTCACCCAGCCGGGAATCATACCCAGGCCCTTCTTACTGTGAGGCGACAGCACTACCCACTACTTACGTTCTGTTTTTTAATGAAACATGCAGTTGGTCAGTGTTCTTTAAATTCAGATGAAATCCACAACATGCTCAGAAAAACATTATGATGTAACCTGATTTATCCTCATAAATGATAATATTGTCTGTCTGTGGAGATTGCATGGCTATGTGTTTTATTTATACACCTGTAAGCAACAAGTGTGGTGAAGAGTGTGTCCACATAGCTAAATTAACTTGGTAGACTGGCAAAGTCTAGCTAAACCGTAATATGTTTCCTGAATCTACTCAGTCAGCTCCTTTGGATAGGGAGATGGCAGCGTTCTTCTTGTCATTTTTTTGGGTGTAAATTTCACATTTTACGCTGTTTTACTAGAACATTACTGACGCTGTTTTACTAGAACATTACTGTGTGGAATCAAGTGGAACGCTCGATACGACTCAAGCCCAAGCTCTCACAGATAATATTTGAGGGTCAGCTCAGTACCTTTGCAGCTTTCCTGGTGCTGAATCCCGGCTCGAGGCCGAGCGCGGAGTAATAAAAGGGCTGACACACTCCTCCAAAAATTTCCCCTAACAATCGTGAAACCTGGAACACAAAACGTGGTGCATTTCAGCCGGGGAGGAGAATCAATACAGATACACATGAAATTTAGACACCATCAGATCACCATCACATTTCTCCTGCAGTCCCAGACTCCTGTGGGCCACACGCAGCAAGTGCTTGGTGACCTCTGACTTCTCAACCTCGGGGTGTAGAAATGCCTTAATGCATCGACCCCAAAGGTGGTGGTTCAACCTCTTCAGTTCAGTTTTTGGAACAGAATATAAAGTAAGCACTAAGTTTTTTTGGCTGGAATAAAATTCTCAGTCTATTACTGAGTGTAAACATCTACTGTTATTAATGTCTACATTACTGTGCAGGGTCAGAGACCACCCTGCCTTTATTTAATTTCCAGTTTAATCAGCCATTAAGTATGCAAGTTATTAATCTTTCAATATACATTTCTGAAAAAAAACAGGATATAAGATAATCCACTTGTATAAGGAAGGAGAAAGTCAAATAAAGGTGGTCTCTGCCAGTGGTCTCAAAATGACCTAGTCAAATTTTAACTGTTGTTGAAATACAAGTTCTCATGATTCACTGTAACACAAGAACTGTAATTGAACCAACCAGGTCACAGATTTAAGCCTCTCCTCTCACCTCATACAGGCTGAGCCCCTTGGCATCAGGGGGGCACCTTGGGGGATTTTTTGCAGTTTCCGTCGGCCGAGTCGGGGGAGTTGGGGTGCGAGGCAGCAAGGTTCTCCCGCTCCTTCAGCCACTTCTGCAGCAGTGAGTAGACCAGAGCGCTGTCAGGCAGAGACTGGTACAGACTCTCCAGACGCTTGTACGTCAGGTACTGCAGGATGTTCAGACCGTTTTCTGTGAAAAGGCGCACAAACTGGGGCTTATTGTTCACCAGAGCGTCTGTCATTAAGTCCTCCAGGTCTTCATACTGAGAGAGAGAGAAAGAGAGAGAGAGAGAGAGAGAGATGAACAAAATGAAAGAGAGAGAGAGAGAGAGAGAGAGAGAGAGAGAGAGAGAGAGAGAGAGAGAGATGAACAAAATGAGAGAGAGAGAGAGAGAGAGAGAGAGAGATATCTCTATATATATGGCTCGAACAGATAACATCTTCAACAGTGCTTCAAAATGAACATTTTAAATGAATGAAATGACTACAAAAGAAATATTTGGTGCTAAAAATAAATAATGTTCTGAAATGACTATAAAAGATAAATCTCCAGTACCTTTAACTTTCTATAAAAGACAAGTCTTACGTGTTTTAAAAGCACTACAAAAGAAATCTTATGTTTTACAGTGACTATAAAGGACAAATCCAGCACTTTAAAATGGATAGAAAGGAGAAATCTTAAGTGCTTTAAAGTGGCTAAAAGATAAATCACCAGTGCTTTAAAAAGGCTAGATAAGTGTATTTTTCCAGATGTGTCCTTTACAGTGTTCACAGAAATCTATTGCCGTGAGTGTGAATGTACTTGTAATTACTCAAACCTGCCACTGGATGTCGCCATTGAACAGCTCACTCTTGGCGATGTCCACTCTGTTCCAGGCTACAGCCAATTTCAGCTCCTCTGTGTACTCACTGGCATCACTGCTGACCTGCTTACAGGCTGTACACACACACACACACACAGCCATCAACATTAGTGTACTGTGTGAAGTTCATATCAGGTCATAAAACATACGTATGTGAACAAACATACAGCAACATCCTGAAGCTCTGTAGCCATTAGCTCACCTCTGACCAGAGCTTTCAGAATGACCGTGTCAAAATCATCAGGGCCGTCCTGATCGCCATGAAACACTGTGACCAAAGCTCTGTTCTGATAGATGCTGACAGCCTACAGAGAGAGAGAGCGAGAAAGAGAGAGACAAAGAGAGAGTGTACTGTAAATATATGTGAAAATATGCACTCTAAGCCTGAGGCACCTAAGCCTAATATTATTTATATTTCTTGTAATGTTAGCTTTCTGAGCAAATAAATTCTTACTGATGATTCTTTATGAATTGAATTTAAATTCTCAGGTGCCTGTATATACAGTGATCTGCAAAAGTTTGTCAAATTACACGTTTTGTTGATTTCAGTGATATTTTTTTTCTGCAAATTGTAGAGAATAGTTTTTTTTTGTTGCCAAGTTTAACATGTTGGAAATTACCTTAACCTCAGGATCCAAAACGACATGGTTTTGTTCTCAGATATAAAAATGAAAACATGGAGAGTTTGTAAAAAGCATTTAAAGTCAAGGACGTTTTCTCAGCCCTGCAGGTTTGATCTATTTTTCTCTGGTTTTCTTTCACCGAACAAAAAACACAGTCCGACACACAGACAGACAGATCAGCATGCCCTGTCCCGCTCACCTGGTCCACAAGTTTATCTAGTGCTTTCTCGGTGGGGAAGTGCTTCTTGACAATCTCTTTGACTCTCTCTCTCAGCTCTGCGGTGGAGCCGTCACGGCCCTCTCCGTCCCCAGAGGACGATGTGGGGCTCAGGTCACTCAGCAGCTCAGTGATCATATCTGCCGCCGGACCGGACCCGTCCAGCACCAACCACGGCGTAGCTGTCTTCAGTGACATGTCCACTCTCTAAAATGTGACAGAAGATAAGATGATCAGTCAGAATACAGCGTAAAAAGTGTACTGTTAGCAAACCCTTATGCAAAACTAAGAGCGGTGATTAGGCTAGAGCAGTGTTTCCCAACCCATTCTGATCCACAAGTGTTCTGAGTTAGGCTGGAACAAAAAAGTGGACCGTCTGGGGGCACTGTGGACCAGGTTGGGAACCACTGGATTAGAGAATAGTAGAGCTAATAACAAACCTTTAACACAGAAGCCTCTCCAGATATCAGCATGCACAACACTGGGATCTCAATGTTACCACTACCTGTTGATGCGTTTATTTACGTATTTGGGATAGAAGAGGACAAAACAGATGATACAGTTAATACAATATAGTAGAAGTCAAATTAAATATAAGAGCAATACAATATAATGCAGTGAATTTCATTATATTTTCACCAGAAACTTAAGTAATCTAAAACGGACTTGCTCATGTGGCATCTGACATTTTATAACATTGACAATTTTTTTATAGAAATGAACAAAATAGGCTCCTGCTACTGTTTTTATGCCTTCTGTCCATTTTAAGGCTGTGTGAGACAGAAACCACAAGCAAGTCTGTTAGAGATTATTTAACAACCTGATGCAGTTAAATTCAAGTGAGATGATTTAGGCAGGCAGTTAGCACAATGCTAATTGTTAAAAATAAGCATAGCTTGAGTACAAAAGTAAAGAAGCAAACGTCAGACACCATGTCTTTGGTGACTGACTACAGTTTGAGGTAAAAGGTAAACTGTGTAACTTATTTTAGCTGAAATGGCATAAATGGCAGATTAGGGCTGTTAATGAAAAGAATAATCAATTAAAAATGTAAGTTATTGATGAACTGACTTAGTGATTAATCTGCAATGTGGATGATAAAGAGGCAATTGGCTGGACATTTAACAGTTTGAAAGTTCTCCACAAAGGGAAGTTATAAGCTCTGAAAACCACTTTTGTGTGCATCTCTGAAAAAGAGGAAACCCACACAAGAAGGAGCTCATGTTTGTAGTTCCACATTTAATGAAGTAAAATGAAATGTTTGGTGTTATAAATTGCATTTATATGATTACTTGATTAACCAACCTAAGATAATAGCTCGATTATTTGATTGCCAATACAATTAATAGCATAAGGTGCAGATTTGTGGGGGCAGAGGGGATGTGTTTTAATCTCATGTTTGGAGGGAGATTAAAGAAGAGCGAAGAACTTTACCCCCCAGCCCCTCCGCCCATCACATCTTTACGTCCCTGCGCACAGACTCATGGGAAATGTAGTCTGTATACAGTCAGTATGTTTCATGTTCTTTTACAGTAGCATTTTCCTATGTTCAAGACTGTCAAAGAAAAGTGAGGTAAATCCAAGGCCGCTACCTGTGAAGATACTGCCAGCTTGTTGCTCTCCTCCTGGATTAAAAACACTAATGCTGCAAATTAGTTTGTTAGCCATAGCTAGCTCAGTAGTTAAGCAGGTCTGGCTGATATATTTACTTTTTTAGAAAAAAAATCTTCTACATCTAAAGCTGTACTACGTCATCTGTGTGACAACTACATGTCTTGTTAGCACTGCCAGACGTCCGGTTTGAGCTCCAATGTCTGATGCCAACTGGAGGTTAAGATGTCCAGATGAGTCTAACTCTAAAGGTATGAGCAGCACATCCTCCCTAAAGTTGACATGTAACCTACACTACTAATCGACAGTGGCAGACACAGTACTGAATCAAAGTCTGTAGTTATAACATCAGGTCCCCACAGTTGAAGGATTCAGCTACTATTATACTCACTGACAGCTAGACGTGTTTGACGGCTACAGAAGTCTGTCGGAGTGAAAGTGTAGGTGTGGCCTTTCTCATTAAAACCCATCCCTTACTTTCACTCCTCAGTCGGCCTTACATAATCACCACAGATGACTTTACGGTCCATGGGAAAAAGGCACAGACTGTCTGCCTCCCTTCCTCTAAACGTATGTCTACTTCATATTTATATCGAAGAATTAAAGGAAGCCCACAGGGAGCTGCTCTCAATTGTTTCCTAATTTCTGGCTCACTACCATCTCAGCCCTACCTGCTGCTCTGTTCCTCTACTTCATAAATAAGGCTGCATTTACAAAATGGAAATCAAAGAAGGTTCATATTTGAACACTTTTCTAAGTTTTCTACCATGTATGTTTTATCATTTTTCTAAATTTAACCACAACAAAAACCAAAACACTTTTAAGTTGTGTATTTTTATTATATTGTTTTTAATATACATGTGCTGCTGGCTCTGTCTCTCACCCCAGATTCCGGTACGCTGATGGGATATGTGGTCCTCCAGGTTTGTGATGAAGTTTGTTTCACCTCCCCTGCGGCCTATGCTCCCATCGTCCACCAGCAGGAAGGCCTGGTAGTTATTGTCCAGATAGCAGGAGTCTTCTGATATATTCTGAACGTAATATCTCGCAGGGAAACTGCCCTGAAATGTGAAATAATGGAACATGGCTCTAAGAAATTCTTAGAAATATTTTTGTCTGCAAATTTTAGTGCACAATTTTTATTTACTGAGTTTATCATATTGGAAAAAATAAAACATTAAATGTTAAATATAAAACGTGCTATAACTTTTGTACAGGCCACAGTTTTTTTTTCAAATATATTCAATTCAGCAAATAAACTTGTGCAGTAACGTGCAGAAGTGTGTTCTCTGCAGAGGATGTGTTAACCTGTTTTCACATAGCAAATCAACAAAAAAAGTGATTTGAATGGGGTGTCTAAACTTCTGTATTTTGTATTGGTGTATATCTATCTGTTTTTTAGCAGACCTGTAATCCTGTAAATACTAACTGCTGTGTAAACGACTGTATCTGATTACATTCCCTATCAGAAAGTTTAAGTCCGTTCTGATCATGTTCGAGAAGTTTATGCTCTGATCTTTAAAAGGCGGCGGTGGGACAGACGTCCAGCTTATGTGTCTCAGAACACGACGTCTTCCTCTCGGCCTTCTTTAATAAGCACATGTGAGGGACGTTTTCCTGAATCTGACATAATTTTAAAGTGAATAAAAACACAAGCGCTGCTCACTACTGCTCGTCTCACTCTGACTGGACTCACGTGATGCTCGTTGTCATGGCAACGTCTACACTAAGTGGTTCTATATATAAGTGTGCAATTTTGGCTCAGATTGCTTGTAGTGAGCATGTAAACGAAGATTTCCATCAGATTGTTGAGTAGAGTGATCATATAAACACCTCAGTGTTAATCTATAATCGGAATGTATTCAATCGGGTTGGCAAAAATTTTTGTATGTAAATATAGCCAATAAACTGTGTGCATGAAATGCTAACTTACTAGCTTCTTATTTTTTCTTGAAATCTGAGAAGTTGCACAGGAATAGCATATTAGAAACATTTTCTATATTTATCATTCTTAACTTACTTGTAACTAACATTTTATTCTGAGAACTCAAACCACTTCTATTGGTCCATTCATCATAAAATGCTTGCAGTGTGTAAAAGGACGTTTTCAAATGAATCTTTGTGCACATGGTTTACGCATGTGTGCACGGTACTCCACCTGTTCATTGATTAGCTGTTTGCGGTTGGCTACCATGCCCCAGGGAGCCACACCCAGAGCAACCACTTTAGACTGGGAAGGAGACGAGGCTGCAGCTACGTGATCCCGCACCGCTTCACCCACACAGCGGCCTACGCCTTCCCTCAAACCGCCCGTCATGATCCATGCACCTGAGAGAGAAACACAGCATGCAAAATTAGCATGCACTGTTCAGCAAAACCACTCCACCTGACCGGCCAGTGTCTACAGGCCCTATACAGAGCACAAAGTAACCAGAGATCATTACACTGCCAGGTCCTAAAAGCTACATGAGCAGAGAAATCAGATGTTCCTGTGGCTGGTGGGGAAATTGTCTGTATGAATACATATTCAGAACACAGGAGTACCTGTATTCAGCCCGAGTTACATTTTGTAAAGGCAGTATTCAGTATTTGCACCACAGGAACTCACAGTGAAATAATACACAGTGAAAAAGAAGAGGAGAAGAGAAGAAAAATGGGAGGTGCCAACACAGACCCTTCATCAACCAGTCGGAGAGGACGGCTGGATAACATCAGTATTTACATTCCACACAGTTCACAGGACAAAGACAATATACTGAAGATTTGACGTGTGAAAGCAAAAGACATCAAACACTCTGGATGACATCAACACACCCAAGACTGTTTCCACACTTACCTGCTGGCTACGCAAACAAGGCAGGATATGCACTGTTAGTATGTAGCGCTGCTAGTGTAGGCCAAAGGTTAAGCTGGAGCAGCCATTGATTTTTCAGAACACGACACATGACGCTCATTACGACACACAATGGATTTAAAGTATGGTTCCAGGTCAAACACCGAAAGGAGACTACAGCAGCAGAGCTGCATGATGTGAAGGTTGTTAATCACTATCCAGATGCTGATAATGCAGACAGTTTCACAGGCAACTGAGCATCTAACTCTCAGTATTTCAATGTGCTAATCTGTGCTAATCACAGACCTTCTGAGTGTTTCTGTAGGTGTTTGGAGGAATTGAGGGGTTCTGTTCATTTCATGCAGCCCAAAACAGCAAATAAGAAGAGAAAGGTCACCTGTGCTCTGAGCGGCCCGTACCAGACCCTGCCTCAGCACGTCCCGGACCCAGCTCTTCACCTTCTCCTTGCCCACCCCGCCCACCACAGACACCACCATGTTGGGCGCCGGCAGCCCCCAGTGCCCCGTCATCAGGGTGTAGACGAGCGAAGCGGGAGTGTCACAGGACAGACGCAGAAACTGGGGACAAAAACCAGTAAATGAGTTCATTAGTTCTAGAAAAGTTCCTAAAGACTCATAATTAAAATGCATCAAAATATTAATAATAAATAGGAGTGAATTTCTGGAGTAAATTTCTGACGTCACAGCATTTGGTTTTACAGTTCAGTGAATTATTTTAGTGTAGTTATTGACAAAAATACACTAAAAGCATTGAAATATATATTTTCACAAGCTCATTTTCCAAACGTTCTTTATTGCTTAGAAATAAACAGGTTATTTTCATTACTGTGTCTCTAAGGCTGGTTCATGTATGGAAAAATAAACTTCTGACCGCTCCTTTCAGACCTCATATACGATTCTTCAGGAAATCACTCAATGCATCATGAAGATCTTCGTTTTCATAATTAAGTAATTATTTTGCACTATTATTTTGTTCTGATCAGTAAAAAACAAACTGAATTCACAATTTATGCACATTATGTATATAAAACTTAACGAGAACAGCTTTAGTAGAACACTCTCACTTTTACTGTTAGAGTATAACAGGTGTGGTTTCAAATTCATGTTATATACTCATATTTCAACTGCCTAGGGACATATTGATTATATAGGAGTCAGCTCTCTTTTTTAGGAAAAGTTCAGGGAAACTTGTAAAAACTGTCTGAGATAACTGACTGAACGTTACAGACGGAGTAGAACGAGATTATGCTGAAAACCGCTGAAGAAGTTCTTTAACACGGGGTTCAGATGTGCATGATGAATGAGAATGTGTCTGCATGCTGTTTGACCAAACTGAAGACACAGAGAGACACAGGAAATCTATTGTGCAATCACATTTCAAACGTACAGTAAAGGTCACAAGATAAACCTGAAAGACTGACAACCGATCTCTCTCCCACGTTCACATTCATACTCACACACGCACCACGTCGCAAACATGTCCTTAATAGTTCGCGCCTCCACCTGCTCTATTCATAGCCGCGTCAGTGTGAATATGAGTGACAGCACAGCCTGAGTCAACACACCAGTCAGCAAAACACACAGCCGGATATAACAGACACACTCAGGGCCCAGTTACAGAGCCCATACCACTGAATTCACTCTAATGAGAACGCAGTGTTTTATGTAAACACTGTTAAAACGTATTAGTCTGTACAGTCAACATATGGAAACTAAACAGCAAAAACGGGCCGTTTTGAATTTATCATGGTTGTGATGTCACAAGCATGAACACATCTACAAACTGAGGATTTCAGTCCAGACTTTTTTTTATTTAATGCTTTTTGAATGAGATGCAATAAAAGACTGCCAACCTGAGATATTTTTGATGTGTTCGGGTCAGTTTCGGAATCTCAATGTGGTTCAGGTCGGATGCAAACAAATTTTTGTTGAGCTTGGGTCGGGTTTAGACTCAAAACAATGATGTGGCTCGAGTCAGACTCAACTTCAGAGGCTGTATTAGGGTTTGGAATAACTGTTTTTTGAACAGTGTTTTTTAATTGTGCAGTTTGAGCTAATTCAGTAATTGCGTGGTCTGTTTGTTTATATAAAAGTACCATGTACCTGTCCAGTGCGTATTACCGTCCACCTGAGTGTCCTATCTGTTATGTCTTCTGGTTTTCTGTCTGTTCAGCTAAAAAAAGTTACTGACCCTGGAAAAGTGGGAGGTGCTTCGGCCAGCTGATCTTGGCCTGGTTTATAAATAAACAGTATATTTATTGAAGATATAATAACATAAATAAATACTTCTTTTAAATGGTAAGTCCCATTGAAGGTTCTCTTGATAAAACCGAAGTTAATTCCAGCTACTGTCACATCATGAATTTATTAATCACTCAAGTGCATCAAGTCTGAAGTATCATTTACAAACAGCACACAGCAGAGCAGCAATATCAGTAACGTTAGAGGTGGAGTTGCGCCTTCAGATTACTAAACTGGGCAGTGCTGAAAGGAGATCTATGGATAAATTAACAGCCTGCAAACTAACAAAGCCAACAGCGAAGTGGAGCTCCAGTTCCCCTCAAAAAAAAAACAAACAAAAAAAAGGTTCAACTTATTTTCATGGTCATTTTCGGATTTATGCTCAGTTTTTGTTTAATTAATCTAACATTCTGATTAATCTTATTTTGTACACTTACACAGCTACAACAGACCAAATTAACTCCACAATGCACAGCTGGATATAGCAAACATACTCAGACCTCCAATGAAGGAGCCAAATGCTTCCTAATAGCTTCAGGGACAAGCATAGTGTTTTGTATTTATTTGCGTGCATAATTTTGAAATGTATATGGTTTGATGTTTTGTTAATCCAACAGCTTTACCTTAATGCATTGGCCTTGATACTATGCAAAGTTTTTATATAGGTCACGTGTGATGTACGAATGTTTTTTGGGGGGCTTTTTTCCTTTCAGAAAAAGATGGTGGGTGCACAATTTTCTGACCGTGTCGTTGTGCCGTGGACTGAACTTCGATTTTGGAACACGTGGAACTGAGATGCATGTCTGTTAAGCTTTATTTATTTTTTTTGTTTGCAATTGAAAGAGTAATAAAGGCAAGAATCGTACAGAAGATCCGTGTGGTTCAGGTGTATAGACCACCAG